TTGTGTGCAGGTAGATGGCAGAGAAGTACACGCTAGACTTCCTTCGGGTCACGATTAAAGTTGAAGGATGAGCTGGCTTTTTTCCATCGAAATATACCATTATTGTTGGCCAAAAACAAGCACGGGGAAAGGGATTATCTTATATGAGACCAAAAACAAACGGCAGTTTCGGTAATATTCCCACAGAATATTTAATTGCCGTAATCCGCTTAAAATTTTTGACAATATTTACTGTGTATGTACTGCATTTATTCCTCTCAAATAAAAATATTACTTTACACCTGAATAAATGAATGAGATTTCGGTGTAAATAGTTAAGCCAGATATTTTGGGAATTCAGTTGGATTTTACAATAAAAATTAAACAATAAATTGTTTGGAGAAGCTCTTAAAGTGTCTGCTAAATAATTACCATAGCTAAAAGCAATCCTATTTAAATAACAGTCCAAAAGGTCTGAAAAATATAAATATATAAAACGGGAAATGGATATAAAACTTTACAGAGTAAGCGAAAACGTAAGTTACATCATATTTATTTGAGAAACAGTGCGAATATGACCTTGTTTTAAGAATAGTAAATACTTAAGACCACAAAGTCCATATTCTTCATGCTCTTTAATAATATAATAAAATCATCTAATAAAAATGTCATAAAACGGAAGTGAAAAGTGAAGAATATGCTGCAATTCGAAAATGTTTTTAAGCGCTTTAATGGTATTAGGAAAAGTCCAATCTCGTCTCGTCTCGTCAGCCTCCTGCTCCTCTACTTCCGCCTGACATGTCCCGGCCCAAGGTGTCCGAGGCCAAAAGCTGTCAAAATAAAGTTTTACAATTCACGCGCATTACGGACATCACCCACAATCACATCCACCCAACCACCCAACCACCGCGGCGGGTGGTTCGGCTAATTTGAGCGGTCTTTGTTTGACATTTCAGGCGGAACAGCCGCAACAAGAGGCAACACGCGTTCCTGTCACTCGGGGTCAGTCCGAAATGATGCCAAGTACATGAAAAATGTATAAGCGGAAATTCGTAGACGCTTCCGGCTGGTATTCGCCTAATGGAAATGTAATTGTCAATTGTAAAATAAAAACACGCAGAAAAAAGTCAAGTGAGCAAAGCGATTCACTTTAAGTTTTATTTTTATATTGTTCTATATTTAAGAATAATTTAAGGAAGTCAATAAATACGGGAAATAGTTTTTAAATATTTTTTTTTCAAGTAAAATCCAAAAAAAATTTATCTATGTTTTATTTTTGTAAAGTTTTTTTAAGTTTTTAAAAAATACCTATCCTGAATAATAAATAAGTGTAATATTAAAATTGGCATTTAAAATATTTTTCTTAACATATATCATTTTTTTTAATATTTCTTACTAAAAAGTAAGACTGTAAGAAAAACTTAAAATGAAAATACATTAGCATTTTGGGGTCAGCTTGTTTGGGTTAAAGAAAATCCTTAACTGGATTTGTAATAAAAAGTTTCCATAAACACCTGAGACACACCCCCTAAGAAATTCGATGGCCAATTTTCAATTGATTTTCCTGACTTGCTTGGCTGCTTCTTTGCCATTCCTGCTTAACGTTGACAGATTGTATGCCATTTTTTTGCGTTGTACTTGCAACAATATCGAGGGGAAAACTTTGTCGGTGAAAAGCAGCTGAAACAAGCAGCTGAAAAACTGCTGAAAAACTTTGACAACTTGCACAAAACTTTTACCAGCCGTGTGACATTAGGTGAGAGTTGGCAGAGTCCTTCGAGCCTCCTGCTGCTCAACCCTTGGATTTTTGGAGCGGCAGCAGCTGAAGCCTTTATTCCTTATAAATCACAATGTAATCATAAATCGCTGCTTGCACATAAATTACAATAAGAAACAAATGACAAGTCGGAGTGGAGTGTTTTCTTTGAGGGATTTTTTTTTTTGGTGGATGTCGCCACGCTGCAGGACATTCCCAGTGCAATTTGCCGAGTGTCCTGTGGCGAGAAAAGTGTCCTCGCTTTTGCGCCTTTTCAGGCAAAACATCAATTTGCGGAGGCCTCATGTGGTGATTTCCAAAGGCCTGTGCCCAAAATGGTATTTCTTATTAACTTTCTCACATTACTTGCATTCAAAAATTCTAATTTAATTGTGGTTTAAAATACTTTAATACTTATTAAAGTCATTGTGGCAGCAAAACATCAACACTAATTAAATATACTACTACACCCTACATGTGCGCTATTTAAAAAGTAGCCTGAAGGAGACTCCAAATGGCCAAAGACACTTATTTTATTTTGCATAAGCTGGGCCACAGCCACACCCAATAATTTAGCCACTAGTCAACGCCTCGGGCTTTTCGAGGGGAGGGCCGAAAAAGATTTGGCTTCCTCCTTGAAGTTGCGAGTGGCACTTTTGCTTTGTAATTTATGCAACCTAAATGAAAAGCGTTTTTCCAACAACATTTAATTAAGTTCGGGGGTGTGGGGGGCACCAAGGTAGAAAATGTTCAAAGTTAAACATGAGAATTTAAATGGCAGGGCCCCCAAAGTGGAATGATTTCTTTTTTGTCGGCTGGCCGATGTTCATTTAAATCGTTTTCGTGTTTGGAGAGTTATTTAAAAAGCTCTTATTCACAGAAATACTGTTTGAGACACTGAACAAAATTCTATAATAGTACGAGATAGTTTTTCTATGTTACAAATATATATTTCAAAATGGTTTACAGACTCAATATGCATGGTAAATTAATTTTAAACTAATATCAAAGATTTTAAAAATGTACATCTGTTATATGTTACAAAAGGGTTTAGAAGATCAAACTGCATAATTAATTTTATTTAAAATTAATTTCAAAAAATTTCTCAATGTACATTTAATATTTGATGGTTTTTCCTCTTCTAAAAATCTCACTTATGGCACTTTAAGTGCTGTTAATTTTTTCTCCGTGCATCAAACTATATTGGCGTAGTGGAAACCCAATCAAAATACCTGCCACCCAGCTTGACCCCTGGGAATTGGCAAGTGGGTCCAATGACTAGCGCAGGAATCATCATTATCCTCGTCATTATCAGCTGGCGGCAAAGGAATTGGGTCGTTGTTGGTTTTAATGTGCCTCGGTTGCCACTTTTGCTGTTATCAGCAGCGTCAATGTTTGGTGATAACAGCCAGCGGCAGCGCTGCAGCAGCGCAGCAGCAGCGCCGGCCCAAACAACAACAAAGCCCATCCTGCGCAGCAACTGCGACGCCGGCAGCGCAGCATCGGCTAATGGGCAAAAGCAGCGCTGTAATCCTGTTCTTGTGCGTGTGTTAGTGTGCGTGAGCGGGTCGCATGGGTGTATGTGTGTAAGTAGGGCTACAATATGTGGAGCAAGTTGCGCTTTGTCCGCTGCCAGGAATTCGTGAATTCAGAATATCCACGAGCGGAAGTCCGAAGGACAGCATCGGAATTCGGCTGACATTCGGCTTCGTCCTGGCGGCGCAGACGCAGCAGAGATGCGAGAGAGCAAGAGAGAGCGGCCGAGAGAGAGATTAGCAAACTGTTTCACTTCCGCTTCGGTGATGCTGCTGCCGGGTGTCCTGTTAACTCTTAACAGAGCTGCGCCCACTGTTCTGTTAAATGGAAGGTCCTGAGAAGAAACTCATTCAAATTGGGCCCTATTAAAGAAATGTATGGGTTTTTAATTTAACTAAATCTTGTTTTAAATCACAAAATAATTTGACGTGCTAAACATTTGCTTAGATCCATAGTTTCGGTCTAATTTAAGGGCCAATGTACAAAACTGTTGTGCTTAATTCTAATCTAATTTAATGATGATTTTTTAGTATACATTTACTAAACAGTGCTCCTAATAACTTTTAAGACTAACATAGAATTGTCCTACACCAAAAAAATATTTTCTCTTAGTTTCAGAATTTCGACAAAAACTTAATGTTAAAGGTAATATTACTAAATTGAGAATAAAATAAACCAAAACTACCTACTTCTTAAAAAATTAATTTAATAAATAAAAAAATGTTGCTAAAACTAAAGAAAGCTTCCCATAACTCTAAATCAATGTCGAATTTCTAAGGTACAAAGGAAATATTTGGTTAAGTGTTGTAAAACTACTTTTAATAAACGTTTATGTACTGAAAGATATTTTCTCAAAAGCTTTGTTAAGCGAGCTTACCCATGTCTCTGCTTAAAAATCTTACTTTGAAGAACTGTAAAACGTAATGATTTTGTTTTTTGACTGCAAATGACTTTCACATTTACTTTGTTAAATATTAAATTTATGGAAAGATATTTAAAGTTGCTTGTTATAATGATAAAAAATTATACTACCCTAAGGTCTTTTGACCACCACTATTTTAGCAAATATGTTGATAGATATTGATTTTTTAAGAGGTCATTCAGCTGTCTTACAGATATTTTATTTATAAAATATTTAAATAATTTTTAGAATAAGTTTTATAGGCATTGTCAAACAATTACAAATGGTAGTACGTAATTCTGAAACTCTTCATACCAAAAACAGGGTTCCCTTACCCATAAATCCACAGAAATTCCTTTACAGCACCCAGCACTGGCTGTTCCGATTCCATCGCGTTCCGCATTGCTCTCGCAAAGGAGCAACACCAACTGCCCAACAACATTACGAACAGCACGGCGGCAACATATTGCAATGTACGAGCAATTTTACAGCCGTGCAACGTCGGAAAATGCCGATGCGCTACGCAAATTGCAGGCTTCGTGAAAACCGGAAAATGGCTCGCCTCGTGTCGGCGCTCTCTCTTTTCCGCGTTTCCGCTTTTCCGCTGCCCGTGCCACTCGCTCTCTCTCTCGCGCTCGTTTAGCCGAGATTTTCCTTAATGTTGCTGCTGTGCTGCTGCTGCTGCTGCCGCTGCTGTTGCTGCCGGAGCGCTGCTGCTGCTGCTGCCGGTGCTAGTGCTGCTTTTTTTGCTGCTGCGAAGGACTTCTGTATTTTTGGGGCTGTGCTGTTGGTCCTTGGGCCATCGCTCGTTCAGTCGTCGTTGCGTGTTGTAGGTGGCCTGGTCTACTCAGCTCCGTTTTGACTGCTCCACCTCCAACTGGCACTGCTGCTGCTGCTGCTGCGGCAGCTGCTGCATCTGCAACCTGCAACACTCACACCACGGCAACAGAAGTAGACGCGTCGCGTTCAGTCCTCGTCCTGCAGCGTAACGTCATGTCGCGTAGTGTTCGGCCGAATGAAAAAAACCAAAACCAGACTGTAAGGTGACTGAACCGATCCTGAACCCATCATCATCCTCTTCCCCACTCAAGTGCCGTGGATGTGTGTCAATTAAAAAGTCTCGTCTCAGTGAGTCGCGTGTTTAATTTGCGGCACGTTTCCCACACACACACACACTCACTGTCAATTTAATTAAAACGCCACAGACAAATCCACAAATATCGCCCAACTATCCAACCAGCCAACAATCGAAACCAACTCAATATTAAACACAATATTGCGGTAAGTTTACGCTCACATTATTTTTAACTAATCAACAATTGGAAATCATATATATGGCAAATTGCATTTTATTAGCTGTGAATTTGTTGATCCTGATGGATTTTATTGCTGCGGTTATTGGCCGGGGAATGCAAATTGCATTTTAATTAATTACGTTTGCACTTTGGTGGCCATTTCAATGAAGTTTTGATTCGTTTTTTTTTTTGTTTTTAATTCTATGCGTGAGCTTTGTTTAATGACATGAGAAATTTATTTAGTTTTTGTGGTGCAAAATCGCGGGATTTCTATGCAGTTACTGCAAAAGCTAATAAAATGCCATAAAGTTTATTGAAATTAGCTATATCACGCAATATTTGCATGCCAAGATTTTGAAGGCTTCATAAGCTAATTGCAGAAGTTGTTAAGTGTAAATTGTACATGTATTTTTTTTATGGCTTTAACTTTAAAAAGCTTTAATGAAATGCAAAAATCGAATAAGTGTGTTACTGTATTTTTAGGTACTTCAATAATTTTCTATGATCTTAACTGACTAATTTCTAAGAAAATAGTATGGAAACGAATTAAATCTCTTGCAAAAAATATTAAAAAGCTTTAAGCAAAAAGTATTATTGAATTACTTTTATGGGGTACGAAGAATTGAATTACCAAAAATTAGTTAATTCTTCTTTTCATATTAACCCTATAAAATGTTTGCCAAGAACACGTTTCACCGACATTTTTTTAACCAAACATTATTATTTAAACACAATAACTTTTAAATTCCTCAATTCTTTTGGCTAAGGAATTCTAAAAATTTACTCAAGCGTAAGCTTTTTACATTATTTTTTCTGGCCTCGCTGCACACGAAACAAATTTCATTAGAGCGGAAATAAATCAGCTAAGAGTGGGCAATAAAACCAAGGAAATGCCTGAGAGTTTTAGGAAAAATTACAATGCATTACGCATACGCCAGGTGCGACAAATGAGTGCGGGGAAGCGTGACGAACGCGAGTAAAATAAATGGCAGCTTCAGCGAAAATATATAACCGACTTTAATCAGTTGCCAACTCGTTGGCAGACATTTAATTGGAAAAATCAGCGGCATTAAATATTTCTGGGCCGGGCTAGAAGACATTCCCCACTCGACTATGCCAGCCTGACTGTCATTACACAGAAAATTAGATGTGCTCCGCTTTTAGCCCGGCTGACAGCCGGCAAGTCTGGCTGTGACAGTGAGAGGAAAGACATCCTGGCAAACGCGTGTTGAAATGCAAATAAAACAAAAGAAAGGCAGGAAGCTGGGCGAGAAAGTACGGCGAGCACAAGAATGTATGTGAAATAATAAAAAGCGACATTTACGACATAACATGGCAGCATATTACACGGAAAACAGGCGCAGGAAGGAGGAGGCACACACTGCGTATACGTATTCGCATTACAATGTTTCGCACTGATTGTTCTCTGCCAGGACATCACCCCTACTCCTGCCCCTCCTCCCCTCGTCGCCAGTTGCCATGCAAATGTATACAAAGTAATTATGCGCATCTGTGTGCGTGTGTGTTTTTCCGCTCGGTGCTAGTGTGGGTGGGTGTATCTTGTAGTACTACTCAAATAATTGCCAAACCACACACGCAGCTCAGTCTGCGTTGGCTGCCAGGCAACAAAACGCCTTTTAAAAACAACAGGGCGAAAAAAGCTCATGAAATAAACGAACAGGTAATGCTCTACAGAAGCCTATACACGTTTTTATTAAGAGAAAATGTTAATAAAAAATATAAAATAAAAAATAACCTATTAATAAAAATGATAAACATTAAACTAAATAAAATTATGTAAACATGTTCAGTGGTCTTAGGAATTCTTTTCAATTATTTAAGTGAGACTTAATACCTATTTAATACTCAAATAAATGCAAAAAAAAGTTTGGACCAAAATTGTAATAAAAATAAACCTTTAAAAGTTATGCAACATTAGAGATACTTTTTACCAAACCCCAATGGTTTTACCTAGTCTGCCACTTAAGTGTATCAGACATGCTTGAACAACATTGTATCTTATTAACAAAAGAAGGTTGTATGCTATGTGTTACACACCCCACACAAACACGCCACCCGTGTCGTCCTGTTGCAAAAATATTCAAAGTATTGTTGGCAGTAATTTTGGGATACTTTTCCGAGGAGAAACAAGAACAGCACAGACAGACGAAAAACAACATGGAAAAGTTTCGTCAGAGCATACGCCATGAATTTTCATTTAATTAGGCCGCCCATCCACTCCAACCCCGCATTTTTACAGCCTCTCATCTTATCCTTTTGATGGTTAAGCAAACTTGTGAAAAAAAAGCAAGTATATTGCAGATGGGGAAAGTAGAAACCCTTTTGTGCCTTATTGTTTGCATGGGCTCGAAGGTTCGCAGTTGGGTGACTGAGGGGGGTGCAATCACTTTCAAATGATTTAATTTTCCAAGAGAAACCACACAGAAGGAGAGCCCAAGGAAAGCTGACCAATTTGTAGGCCAGGTTTTTGCATCTACCATGATCAGCAACCACATCCAGGACAGACATTGAAACCAATTAATTTTAAATTGTTTCCAGAACCCGGCCTTCAATCGAGTCGGTCTTCCTTTTTTGTCTGAATAATGAGAGCTCACTTTGCAAAAGGTGTCGACGGGGAAAGGTTTTCTTCTTTGGTCGGCTTTTATTTTTTACTAGCGTCCTTTTGTTTGGCCTGTCTATTTTCAGGGGCTAATTGAAGTCTGAACGCCGACAGACGGAAGACGGAAGACCACAAAAGGTCGTTACGATCCCGGGGGGATTTAGATATATGGACACTCGAGCAAACCGCCTTCAACGGGGCTACTTTCGGCAGCCCATAAAAGTAGGCAATACAATTTCCAAGTTTTCTTTTCCTGCCCCCCGTATTCCCTTTTGAAATTTTCACACATGATTTTTTCATAGACCAATTTGCACACATTATAAGTTTGCAACCGCAAATTGCCACACCCCTTTGGGGCATACCGACAACAAAAACAGAAAGAGAAAACCGAGAAAATAAACTTTTAGCAATTTTCCTTTTGTGTTGAGGCGTAGGAATTTCCAAGTGCCTATAAACAGACTCCTGGCGTGGGTGCTCCTGTTTCCCAGCTCCTCTTAAGGGCAAAGCAAAATTCTATTATGCCTCGAAAACAATTTGTGTAAAAATAGAAGTATAAGTACACAGAACTTTTTCACACAGAGAGATAAACCTGATCCCTGTCGGTTCTATTGCCTGGAAAATTACCAAGCAGTGTTTTGGTAAAACTAGAAATGATTATATTTAATGAAAATGTGAAAGCTGCTGTAATTTCTTTCCGTGTCCCCATAAGTCCATCAAACAAACTAACTAGACAGACAACCAATTATTTGCTACTTTGGCTACGCTTGCGTAAATTAAAGCTGGGAATTATCAGCAAACACACAAGCAGATTAGGGGGAAAGGACTCGTTGGCAGTAACCACATCCTGCTGAGCGTTTGGACAACACTCCCCAAACACTCCAGAACACTCGCCATCAACCCAAATGTCTTCATATATTTTCGGATGGTGGGCCCCCAAGCCACAAGACCATAAAATTAAACTAGTGCATAATTAAACACTCGCAATTAGGCGTAATTTACTTGGTGTGTGCGGGTGAGCATTTAGGGGTGTACTCGTATCTGCCATCCACCACACTTTCGCCACATTAGTTTTTAATTAAAAAATGTTTCCCAAGCTCACAATTTGTGAACCCCTTTTCCGCTTGTCACTCTGACATTGCATTTTATTCGAGCATTTAATTGAAGACCCTTCTGCGGACCAATTGTTTTTGGGCCACAATCTTTGGCAGTTGATTTTTGCGCCTCGTTGAGCCCCAAAGTTCAACTAAATGAGGCTGCAAAATGTTGATACACATGTCGTTTAGATAAGAAAGTTCTGGGGAAAGCAAGCTAAGTGGGAGGAAAAACTATGCAAAGATAAGCAGTGAATAAAACAAAGGAAAAGCAAAGCCAACAAAGCATAATCAGCAAGAAGCAAAAAGTCAAAGCTTGGCGCTGGACTCGTTGTAAACAATTCCGAGTTGTAATAATTAATCCAACGGATTTACAGCATAGAACTTTTCGCGAAGCGGTTTCATTACTCAAAACTTGGTCCAAGACAGTGGGGGGAAGGCGGAAATGCGTAATGCCGGATTTTCCCGCCGGACCGCGACTTTGTTGTTCTTATTGCTCAGTGCAAAGAAAGCTTATTTTTTATGCAATGCCAGTGCCAGTAAGATAGCAAACAGCCAGGAAACTGCTGAAACCAACTCGAATTGTACTTAGTATGCAGACAGACAAGCCAACTGACTGACTGACTGGCTGACTGACTGACGGACAACCATTCATTCCATTCATTCATTTCAATTCCTACGAAATAAATCTCATTTTTGCTGCTGGCAAGTCAAATATTTATGCAACGAGGGGAAGATTTCGCATTGCAAGTAAATTAATTAAGGGAAAAACAGGGCAGCGCGATGGGAAAACATCTCAAGGTGGCTGAGCGCATCTAAGCCGATTTTCCCCGTTTGTATAAGTGGGCTGGGAGCGGCTTTTGGCCAGATTTTCTGAATCCCGGGGCCCCTTGAGGCTTCTCCCACAATTTGCATTACGTTTTGCACTGCCAATTGTTTTAGGCCCGGCCTAATTGACAGCTGACAAGATAATTAAGGTTAATTAGTGGCCTAATTGAAACGAATGGGTTACTTCTTCCTGGAAGAAATAAACCTGAAGGTAAAAGTAACTTATTTGGATTAAAGGAAAATCTAATTTAAGCAAAGGTATTATTAGGAAATAAATAACCCGCACAACTTTAAATAGCATCACTCAGTTTAAACAGTCTTAAATTTGCTTAAACTTATATTTACTTTGAACGAAGTTACTGAAATATTTTAGATTTTAAATAAGGCCTTTTAAAAATGTTAATTAAGTTGTTAACAAACTTTCCCTTTAGATTGGGTCTTTTATCA